ATTTTATTATTTATAATATAGAATAATATTTATGCAATCATTATATTATTTATAATTTAGAATATATTTATTTATTACATTATTTTCGTCCAGCATTGTATATATATATATATAGGGTCACGCTCCGGTGAGAATGACCCTTAATGCGAGAAATAGGAATAAATTTGGTACACTGGATCAATGAAATCAAACGGACATAAGAGACCCGCTGGAATTCAATTGCCATATCAATTGGAGGGTAATAGTGTAAATACACCGATCAATTAATTTGTCCTAAACTCATACCCGCACAGATCGAGAATTTGGTGGAAGATTTGCAGCTGGAAACCCTAAGCTAAAATCATACCTCAAATCCCGCAGCTCATACCTCAAATCCCGCAGTTGTGTGTTTTCGTGAGCGATTAACACGAAATCAATGGGGAATATTCCATTAGCTTGAAATTTTGCATCAGGTTCTCACTATTTCGAGCGATTTTCCCATATCCCATGAGATTTCCATACCAATTTCGCTAGCCCGAAACTTCCGATTGAACCGCCATATCACATACTCGACGGCGTTAGGTATATTTTCCAATTCAACTTTTGATTTTCGTCAATTATTGTACGAAATTGAGAGTTGTTGGTTTAATTATCTACATGTCAAAATTTGTCATTTTAGTGAAGTTGATCTGATAGTTGGTCTGATATACTTTGTTTCTTCATGTGATTTTAGGGACTTCATACGTTTTCTTGGTTGGGTCGCATAAACAATGGAATTAAATGACTCTCAACCAGGTACTGAGGACAATTTTATCTATACTGTGATAAAGTGCAACAGTCGATTCTATTGCGTGCAGCTGTATGTTCACATTGGTGCAATCGTTGAGTTTAGTTATTACTACTGATATGTTTTATTTTTCTGTTTTTCTTTTCCTTCCAATGGCACTTAAGGAATGCAACCGCCGGTTACACAGCAACTTTTAATAACACCAGGTGGAACAAAACATTGGATACCACAATGCGACGAATCGATTAAACCGTATCAAGGACAAAGATTCCGGGAATTACATGAAGCGGTGAACTTCTACAAGACTTATGCTCTTAACGTTGGATTTGATGTGAGGCATAGCACGTTGGCGAAATCACGTGACCATACGGTTATTTGGAAATACCTCGTGTGCTCGCGAGAGGGTTACAAGAAGCGTGCAGTCATCAGTCCTATGGCACATGCTAAAGGACACGTGACAAGACGTAGAGTGTCCAGCCGGGTAGGTTGTACTGCCAAGATTGGAGTGCGATATGATGGATTGAACGGATACATCGTTAAAATCTTTGAGGAAAAACATAGCCACTCAATGATATCTGATGCTTGCAAGTCACAAATGAAGATCAGTAGGTCGATGAATGCAGGACATAGGTCTTTCGTAATGAATTGCATAAAGGCGAATATAGGGCCAGTCAAGTCGTATCGATTGTACAAAGAGATGGTTGGAGGGTACTCAAACATTGGAGCCACCAGTGTCGATTTCAAGAACTTTAAGCGGGAACTCTTTGCGTACATCTTAGGAGCTGATGCACAGTTGATTATCGAGAAATTCCATAAGCGTCGGGAAGCAAGCTCAGCCTTCTACTTCCAATACGAGCTTGATGAAAATGACTGTTTAAAACGACTTTTTTGGGCTGATTCGATTTCGAGGAGGAACTACGGTGCGTTTGGTGATGTTGTATCGTTTGATGCGACGTACCGCACTAACAGGTTAGCACAAAATTCCAGTATATTTTTCCAATATATGTTGTCAGGTCAATAATATTTGCAAATGTCAACAATAATTGTATAGTTTGTACATTCTCTGGTTGCACAATATAAATTATCACTTGTATACTAAATCAACTTGATCAACGTGTAGGTACAACATGGTATTCGCACCTTTTACCGGCATAGATAACCACGGCAAGTGTGTGACATTTGCAGCTGCCTTGATATCGAAAGAGGACGTTGACTCTTATGTTTGGGTATTGAAGAATTTCAAAGATGCCATGATCCACGAGCCCGAGTACATTGTCACAGACCAAGACCCGTCCATCGGCATTGCGTTTCCTAAGGTATTCGAAACTTGCAAACACCGATTTTGCATGTGGCATATAATGACAAAATTATGCGACAAGGTTGGTCCTTCTTTAAATAATGATGTAGAATTCAAACGAAGGCTTAATGAAATTGTGTGGGATCGAACTATAGAGCCTAATGAATTTGAAGCTAAATGGGCGGCAATAATGAGAGATTATATGCTGGAAACACACAATTGGTTTACTGATCTATTTGCAAAAAGGGAATTTTGGATTCCAGCCTTTTTCAGGGATGTCAAAATGAGTGGTTTGATGAGGACAACGTCCAGGTCCGAGAGCGAGAACAATTGGTTCGGTCATTTCACGAGTAGCCATTCCAGCTTAGTCGAGTTCTTACTACATTTTGACAGTGCGATGGACGCATAACGAAACGTGTCGGTCAAACTACAAAACGACAGTGAGTCGCAAATGGCTGACTTGAAGACACCTTTGCCGATTGAGAGGCACGCAAGGTCTGTTTACACGACATTCTCATTCTACCGTGTACAGGGTGAGATATGTGCAGCATGTTTCAATTGTCGTGTAACGAGCGTCTCCGAAAGTGAAGGAATTATGGAATTCAAACTCAAAGACCCAAATGGTAAGACCTTCACTGTTATTCATGATGTCGTCCTGACTACGTCTGCATGCTCGTGCAAGCACTTCGACTTGTACGGGTGGTTGTGTAGACACGTGTTTTTTGTGCTCAAAGACCTTAACTTCGATCTAATTCCGTCGGCACATATCATATCGAGATGGACGAAGCAGGCGATTAGTAATCCCATGTTTCATGTTCTTGGCAATGTTGCTGCACAATGTGCTCGGGCCGATGATACAAAACACTTGTTGAACAAATTGTGGTCAGATATACATATTTGCGTTGGATTAGCTGAGCCTTGTGTCGATCGACTTATCGAATTTTCCACAATCATCGAAGCATACAAGTCTAAGCTCATATCTGCTCAAACAGGGGATGCGACAATCACTGGTAAAGTGTTCCTAAGTATGTACAATGTATACACTATATTATTGAACTTTACATATCGACACATTGCACAATATAAAAAACGTTGTTGCACTTTATAAAAGATTTTGTATGCTGTTTGCAATCAGGAGATACAACGACCATTGGTAAAGAACACCAATTTGAATCGTTTGTCGGCATGGCTGCTCCTCAAGAGGTGAACATTCACCCTCCAACACAATCCAAGAACAAAGGCAGTGGGAAGAGACTGAAAAGTGCGAAGGAAAAGGCAATTGAAGGGTCGCAAAAGAAACGAAGGACATGCAAGTCGTGTGGTGAAATAGCAGGCCACAACGCACGTACGTGTCCCAAGAAGCAGCAGGCGTACACATCAAATGCAGTCGAGGTACATGCACAAATAGTTGTCTGATACTCTAACATATATATTATGCATATATATTTCTCTACAACCTGCCTCTCTATACATATGTCAACATCCTATATCGTTTCTCAATATTCGTATGTATTTATAACAATGTGTGTGTATTCGTACAATAGTGTAATGCATATTAGATGTGATGTATAAATATTAACATGTATATATATATATAAAATAATAATAATAATAATACATGCAGACACAAGCGACAGGTGATGCAACAAGCAGTTGATGGAAGTCATCTCGGATCAAAATACTACGATTGGACATTTGGTTTAATATTATTTTTTATTTGCATTTTTAGTTTATTCTTTATTTGGAAAAGGTAGAGACGTATGGTTGTTTGTTTAGCGAGTATTGCTCTATGTAGCACTTGATCATTGTTGTGAATTTTGCGTCTGTCATTTTAATGCTACTCTCGTCATTTCTTTTTTTGTTTAGTGGTATTGGCTGATAATTAATATGTGTGCCAGTGGGATATTTATGTGGTATTTTGGGTGCGCACGTTGACTGGGAACACAATGTGTACATCACACTTTTTTGGATCATGCGTTGCACTTTTATAAACATTGCGTTGCACTCCTATGAACATCACGTTGCACTTTTTCAATTGCTGATACCATATGAATCTTAAATAAGATTAGTGTGTATGAACCTGTGTATTTACACAATCACAAAATAATTCGCTATAACGGCCTAATGCACATACGTATTTAAGATTGCAACAAATCAACATCGCAACAACCAAACGTCTGGCAATGCAAGCATTTCTTATGTATATACTACATTAATGCACTTTATATATAATCGCGTTGCACGATATAGAACACGTTGTTGCACTTTAAATAATGTAATGTCGCACTTAAGCATTTCTTCTGTATATGCCACGCTAATGTACTTTATATACAGTCACGTTGCACAATATACAATATATCATTGCACTTCACATACTGTAATGTCGCACCTTATCGACCCACTCCACAAATTAACAACAATAGCTATGTCCAATAATCCACAGACCTTGAATCGGAAACCTGTTCTACATAATATTTTATAAATGCATCGCATCGTTCAGTCACCATAAAACAAAAGAAACAATATATATTGTCGCGTTAACATACCAAAAACGACGAAAACAAATCATAACAAACTACTAGAATAGTCATCCAAAACCATAGTGCTAGAAATAAACATCTAATGACGGGCGTACCAAGCGTTAGGTCCTACACGCATATGTAATATACCAAAACATAGCAACAATATGTCTAACAGGTCCAAACAACACACGACCCATGCGACACGTCACACAACACCGACTTTCTTCCTTGGAGACCTCTTTGATTCAACGAGGTTAGCGTCTTTCACCTTGTTGTATGGAGCAAACGCAATGACGTAGCAGTAACGCTTCCTCATGAGGTCGATCTGCCTCTTGTCGGCCTTCTTCACATCTGGGTTCCAGCCTTCCGTATCACGTCCTTTGAACGTCTCCATGTGACGCATTGTTAGGACGCCGGCATCTACGTCATCGACACCTTCAGTCCACGGCAAATCAATGAAGTTCGGAATCGAGAGCGCGACCGACTTTGATGATTTCGACATACTCATCTGTGCCATGTACTTCGCAAGTGATTGTTGCTGCAACAAATATACGCGCTAACATGTAAAACAAAATGAAAACAACAAAAAAAAAAAGCAATAATATATATATATGAATAAAAAAAATAGAAAGAACAAATACAAAACACTCGCATCACATGATAAAAAACTAAGTTAACTTTCTACAAGTGGAGATAGTTGTTACCAAAATCCTAGCATGCGACGTGACGGATTTCTTGATGGAGGCGTCTTTACAGATGCAAGCACTATCTAGGATATGTATCTTCCAAGTGTCCGGCAAAATACAAATCAACCCACTAAAGCCACCAGAGTGTATAGGGAACACGTACTGTAATTCAAATAAAGAAAAAAAAAACTATAATGTAATGTTGCACGTCATGATCAAGAACTGAAAATGCAATAAATTTGGATACCATTGAAACTTTCTTCCGGTTGTAGGCACACATTCCATTGATATCGGCATCTAGCATCTCCACAAACTTCTTGTAACTTACATCCTTCTTTCTCTTTCCCTTGAAAAAAAGCTGTGATTCACAAAATTTATAGTAAGCATTACTGAAATAAAATCATAATTATGCTTCTAATACACAAAAATATATGACGATGCACCTCATTACACGGACGCGTGGTTGCGAAGAAACACGCTACTGAACCGCGACTCCCGATCTTCTCATTGCAGTTCATTATACGAGCCCACAGATCAATAAGTGCCTCGTTGATTGGCATATTCGGTGCCAAGCATGCCACCACATCCCTCTTCACGATATACTTACCGGACATGGATTGATATATAATCACATCACTGTGCATAAAATGTTATCAGTAAAAACAGAATATATAATTACACTCGACAATAAAAGTTGATTAAATAAAAAGAATAACACGATGGCGCAACATATATCTTACTCATCAGCTTTGCACAGAACCCAATTAACGACCATATTTTCCTGTTTGTCGAGTTTCTTAACCACGTCAATACACCTCTGTTTGAAAGGGGATTTAAGGAAGCTGGATAACTTGGGACTCCTTTTTGGTCTTCCAACGTCAACAACACCAGCATCATCAACAATTGTATCACCACCAGCATCAACAATCGTATCACCACTGGCACCTATTCAACACGTAAAAAAATAATTTTTAATTACAATCACAACACAGTATAATAAAGACACATATATACAATATATACAGTACATACCTTGCACAGGATCATTAACCGTATCAACGACCGGTTCATTAACAACCGCATCACAATCGACTTGGGAAAAAAAAAAGAAATAATTATATATAATTCATCGAACACATATATACAACAACAATCAGATGGTTTATTTATGAACGTAAAATAATAAACACAAAATACCTGATGGCACATGTACAGTGGAAGGCTCTCCGACCGCGACTTCATCTACATGATGTCCAGCACTCACGTTTGGAGGAGTAGTATGATGGTGATCTATACCCGTGTCATCTTCCTCTTCATCCGACGAAAGCCCCAATCCCAAGCTGTAGCTGGGGCCCTCGTGGTGCATCCGTTTGAAACGGTCACGACGTGCAACAGCATCAACAATTGCATCAATGGCAGCTATGTTTGCGGGATCATTCCAGAAATCATCATCAACAATCTGAGTTGGAGCCTTAAAGGGTAGTTCATCAGTCGCATGCTGGCTAGGCTGATCGGGCATATGTTGTTTGTCCTTCTCTTTAGAATCTTCATTGCAAATCCCAAGCAATTTCTGTGCCGCACCTTGCATTTTCGTGAAATTCTCATCACCCAACAGGTCTCGAGGTGCATTCTCAACCAGTTGTATAATTTCAATGCCGGCCGTGGCAAGAACACGTGTCTTTGATGCAAATTCCTGAATAAACGCCTGAAAAAAAAAAAAAAGAATAAAAGGGTAATACAAATCGGTTAAACGTGTAAAAATACAAGAATGTCACTCATAAGATGCAAAAAATAAGGCATACAGCAATATATGGATCCAACAGTACCAGGATGCACCAAATAACTACACATATTGCACAAGTGTTCTGCGACTGGTGCACCAAATACACGTTTCACAAACACATATCACATTGTATGTCTAAAGGGCCCGATTGCACATAACTACTACACATATTGCACCATTGATTGTTAATGGTTGCAACAAATATAATATCATAAGAATATCATGCCAGAAAAAAATAATAATAATAATAATAAAAAATTAAAAATTGTCACACAGTAAAACAACTAATATGTGTATTTACCTGGGCACTGAGTTTCGATGCACGGTTCGTGTCGTTGTCATTGGGACTGTCAACGTCTATTTCGGCACGGTGACGATCTTTTTCCACATATCCTCTGCCAAATGCACCAACCACGATCTCATCCCGCTCTCTCGCTTTCAGCATAATGTTGTTCCATGATTTGAAAATTGGTAGTGATCTCTTTACGATTCTATACGATAGCACCACCTTGTCGACGTAGAACAGCTGCAAAGACAAAGTAAATCGATAAAATACAAATAAAAAAATAAATAAATATAAAGAGTGGGAAATCAATAAATCAGTCATTGTGGATCGTTGGAATAAATTTAAGAAATTACATAAAGTAAACGTCACAAAGGATAGAATGCACTAACCGTCAAAAATAGAAGCGGCCCGGTGAAATTTTTGCGTTTTCGATTAGCATTCCACGCCTTTTTAGCACTCACCAGACATCGAATCAAGTATGCACACCAATTCATCTTGCTAACGTTTGACAAATCGTTGAGCAAGTGAACTGTGCGCAAGTTTGCGACTCCATTCTGGGAACTCTCGAAGAGACACGTAACCATGAGAACAACAAAGTGACGCTTGAACCAATCGTCACTCCTCTCGCAATTTTGAATCATCTCCAGCACCTTGGTAGCTGTGATTTTGGTGGCAACACTGACACCATACATGTCAGCCCATTCATTTAACACTCCCGACTCTGTCTTTTTCTTCCTGTTCGCGATCTCGATAGATCCACGGGGCAGCCCCAACGCACTGTACACATCATCCTCCTTCACGTGGACCTTTCCCCCGTCATACAATTGTAGCTTTCGGTCCATATGGTTGAAATTGTCGACCAGCCAGTATCCCATTTTGGTTGGGGTTGATGTTATCGTCAAATCAAGCAAGCATCCAAGTCCCAACTCGCGAACTGCACGTTTCTGGTCTTCGGACAAACCGGACACCGCCTTCACGAATATGGCTGGTGACGTTCTTGTGTGGATGGTCGGAAATGCATCATCAGTTTTTGCCCCGATATCTTCTAATGCGTGCGTACCAACTTTTTCGTTAATGATCCGCTGCCCTCTTACATTACCTGAAAGTTATATAAATTTATATACAATCTAGTATTGTTTAACGTAAACAATTATGGTGGTCGTGAGATGTAGAACTTTATACCATCTCTCATTGTTGTTGTTTGACAATGTTCTGTTTGGGTTTCATGGGCATCCTCACGTTCAGGCGGTCCAATTATTTTTGCACGTTTCCCACGTCCATCTGCCCGAATTGCTGCACCACTCTTACGCTTGCTTGCTGCAATTTATCAAACATGGTATGGACATAATAAGAATGGTTGTTGGTAACAGAAATTTAAATCTTTTAAACTTTCAATGCTCGTGTATATTAAGATAGGATACGGATAATTGAAAGGTAATATACCGTCTTGTGCCCGAATTGCTGCACCACCTTCGACGACTGAATGTGCACCTATATCATCATATAAACGTAAGGCACGTATAGATAACACATAAAAACTATCACAGCCTTCTTAGAAAATTAACATATTGACCTTTATCGCCCGATTTTCCAACTGTCGGGTCATTTGAATTGTTGTTAATGCCTGCACAACACACGTGATAATCCCACAGTTAAGGGGCTGCTACTATCAACTTGCAGTATGCACAGTGTCATTATAACATACTGATGGAATCAAATGGGTTATGGAGCATTCATCCAAAAGGCAAAAAAAGAAAAAAAGAAAAAAGAAAACTCACACACCAAAGGCATATCAGGATAGAATCCAAAAGCATTCATTCATAAAAATCAGATGAGGGAAATGAACTAACAGAAGATAACTACTCATAGCCAAAGTTACAAAATGTAACAGCTAAACTGCTTAAGTGCATATATTCAACCAAATCACTTTAAATTATCATAACACGAGGGATAATTATATGAAGTTATTAATTTAAAATTAAGAACAGGGCACCAACAAGCAGAAGAAGCCAAAATTCAACAATGTGAAATTTAGGCTTTGACAAATTTAGTGTGTTCATTTGTTAACAACAACCAACAATGTGAAACTATTAGAAACTAAACATAAATAATTAATTATACATAATTCGTCAAAAGAAGTCGCTAAAATTCAACAGACAAAACTCAAATCTAAACAATATATAAAAATTGAAAAATAATGCTCAATATAACCTGTCATCCTCGAACGCGAGATCTCGTGTTCTTCAAGCTCGAACACTTATAGCAGGACCTTAGAATATATTGAACAAAACACAAAAAAAAAAAAAAAAAAAAAAAAAANGTGGGGAATGTCTTTTACAATCCAAAGGTCATGGATTCAATCCCCACCATTGGTACTTTATTTTTAAGTCAACATATTTGACAATAATGGCATAATGGTAAATTCATTAATAATGTAAAGGTGGAATGGTAAATTCAACAAAAAAGTAACGCCGTCAGCACTGAAGTAACGGCGTTAACATCAAAGGGCGAGTATGCATGCAGATATTAAATACAAGGGGGTTTGACGCAATTTTTGAAATACCAGGAGAAAACGCGTAGATTTCATATAATACAGGGGGATTTGGTACAATAAACCCTAACATATTATCATATATATATCACATAAGCAATTTCATATTACTTAAGAATTCATACCTGGTGGGCGCGGCACAACGGAAGCGAGTGGTCATACTACCTCATAATATTCAAGTATTTCACAGAGTTCATATAATTCATGCAAACCAGTTTACAGAAAACGCAGACTGGCTCTAATACCAAACTGTAACGCCCCACTTTGATTCTAAAGAAATTCCGGACCTTCAAAAAAATCACTTAAATTTTTCTTTTCAAAATTCAATGAAAACATTTGAGGCGTTACTCATTCATTTCAAACTCATTTCCATGTCAGAAAATCGACTCATAACATAAATCGTCAATCATCAAATATCAAAATTCCAAAACGGGATTCACAAAATCAAAAGTCACCCAAATCGGGTTTTCCAATCATCACAGTGTTTACGGGGCATCTCCCTAACATTAATCTCCATAATCATAAAATCCCAGAGTTTCATAAAATCAGTTCACCAATAGCGGAAGCAATAAACAAAAGTCTGGTCATATATAGATCGACCACCACTCGCTTCTCTCCGTCGTCATTCCTGCCCTGCTTAACCTGAAATGTTAATTTAAGGTGGGAGTGAGCACATATGAAAAACCGTAGTGCTCACCACTATGCAATAAACGATAATCCTAAAATCAACAGGTACGATCGCAGCATGTATATAAATCAATTAATTATCCCAAATTTCAACAAAAATTCACAGTGTTCAGACTGATGTGCTCATCTATACCAATAGACTACTGCTGGTAAACGTATCGAAGGCCCTCGCTCAGGTCTTACATCGAATTCCCCTCATGCACTACGCCTAAGCCTTCGCCCAGGCTTATACACCGAATCGCCCCATGGGCTTTCATCGATGCCCAGTCAGTAGGAGTAAACCCCTCGGGTTTCATTTCATAAATACGGGGACAACCATTCGACGGCCGGTACAGCTCACATCGAAGGCTACATGGTTCGCATGCATACATTGATTATACCACACGTAAGGCAACAATTTATTGCATAGCAAATTTCAATTAAAACCCACCTGATTAGTGGAAACAGACGACAAACACGATATTCAGACGAGGGTAGGAAGAGGGCTCGACTCCTCAAAAACCTACATTTTTATTATTAATTCTTATTACTATGGGTTTTGATTAAAAAGCAAAATAACCAATTACAACATGTAAAGCACGTACATCAGGTAAGGGCATATAATTCGGTAAGAATATAAGCAGATAAAATTATCACATAAACTTTATAACTTCTCTTCTTAAACCACATTTTCTCAAATAAGACCAAACATAGATCATATAATAACCGAAAAATTTAACTCCCAAATAAAGACATATTAACTGAAATTAAATCTCACAAAATCACAGCATATAGGAAATCAAGAAAAATAGAACACAAGATACATAAAACTAGCCTTCTTATTCTATTAACACGCTAGGTCCACAACATCTGAATTATAAACTCTATATTTAACACCTTACAGCATGCTCAAAAACTCATGATAATCCTCAGCTAAAACATAAACATACGACCCAAAAATAACACCTACATGTGCTATTCTCAGTTCCCTCTCTTTAACTAACATAGGCCAACTCTATCAATATTTAAATGGCAAGTTAAGGCCACAAAAACTGAATCTTAGCCTCTGAATTTGACCTGACACAGCAGCATCTAAAAACAAAAACAGAAATTATGATACACCTAAGGTACAACACATAAATCATTCAAATAAGACATACACAACATGTTCACATGAACTTTCTTCCCTTCTTCTTTCTCATGTATCATACAACAATCTAAAACTTTGAAAGCTGAACTTAGGCTCTGATATACACATCACAACAGAGCTAATAGATAAGGTACTTAGCTGTAACGCCCCACTATGATTCTAAAGAAATTCGGGACTTTCAGAAAAATCAACTTAAATTTTTCTTTTCAAAATTCAATGAAAACATTTGAGACGTTACTCTTTCAATTCAAAATCATTTCTATGTCATAAAATCGACTCATAACATAAATCATCAATCATCAAATATCAAACTCCCAAAACGGGATTCATAAAATCAGAAGTCACACAAACCGGGTTTTCCAATCATCACAGTGTTACAGGGCATCTCCCCAAAATTATTCTCCATAATCATAAAAACCCACAGTTTCATAAATTCAGTTCACCAATAGCGGAAGCAATAAACAAAAGTCTGGTCATATATAGATCGACCACCACTCACTTCTCTCTGTCGCCATGCCTGCCCTGCTTAACCTGAAAGGTTAATTTCAGGTGGGAGTGAGCACATATGGAAAATCGTGGTGCTCACCACTATGCAATAAACGATAATCATAAAATCAACAGGTACGATCACAACATCTATATGAATCAATTAATTATCCCAAATTTCATCATAAATTCACAGTGTTCAGACTCATGTGCACATCTATTCCAATAGACTACTGTTGGTAAATGTATCGAAGGCCCTCGCACAGATCTTACATCGAATTCCCCTCGGGCACTATGCCTAAGCCTTCGCCCAGGCCTATACACCGAATCGCCGCACGGGCTTCAATCGATGCCCAGTCTGTAGGAGTAAAACCCTCGGGTTTCATTTCATAAATACGTGGACAACCATTCAACAGTCGTTACAACTCACATCGAAGGCCACATGGTTCGCATGCATACATTGATCATACCACACGTAAGGCAACATATTATGGCATGGCAAATTTCAAATAAAACTCACCTAATTAGTCGAAACAGACGACAAACACGATATTCAGACGAGGGTAGGCAAAGGGCTCGACTCCTCAAAAACCTACATATTTATTATTGTCTTATTACTGTGGGTTTTGATTAAAATGCAAAATAACCAATTACAACATGTAAAGCAAGTACATCAGATAAGAGCATATAATTCGGTAAAAATATAAGCAGATAAAAATATCACATAAACTTTATAACTTCTCTTCTTAAACTACATTTTCTCAAATAAGACCAAACTTAGATCATATAATAACCGCATAGTTTAACTCACAAATAAAAACATATTAACTGAAATTAAATCTCACAAAATCACAGCATATATGCAATCAAGAAAAATAGCACACAAGATACATAAAACGTAGCCTTCTTATTCTTTTAACATGCTAGGTCCACAACATCTGAATTATAAACTCTATATTTAACAGCTTATAGCATGCTCAAAAACTTATGAAAAGTCTCAGCTAAAACATAAACATACGGCCGAAAAATAATACCTACATGTGCTATTCTCCTTTCCCTCTCTTTAACTAACATAGGCCAACTCTATCAATATTTAAATGAAAAGTTAAGGTCACAAAAACTGAATCTTAGCCTATGAATTTGACCTAAGACAACAGCATCTAAACACATAAACAGAAATTATGATACACCTAAGGTACAACACATAAAGCATTCATATAAGACATACACAACATGTACAAATGAACTTTCTTCCCTTCTCCTTTCTTATGTATCATACAACAAACTAAAACTTTGAAAGCTGAACTTAAGCTCTGATATACACATCACAACAGAGCTTAAAAAATAAAATAACTTCAAAAAAAATCAGAACAAAGCCGAGGCGAAAACAACACATCAAAAGGCCACTTTTCTTCCTATTATTTAGCAATTATCTTCTAAATCAAGGTCACATAAATTGAGGTCAAAATGCTTTGAATACACTACATTTCAGCATGCCCAAAAAAAAAAGAACAAAATCTTAAGCCTCAGCAACAACAACATATCAATTCGGCCAATAAACAACACATCAATTCAGCCAACAAACAACACACATTCGTATTCATAAACAAAACATCGGGCATCTAAATCCAAAATCTCTCAACATTTAACATGCCGCTGAACTGAGAATCAAGAACAAAATAAACCACAACATCTCAGCCATGTAGAGGGTAAAAGGAGTCAGCCATAATACCTACTGAAATTAGGGCTCAGTTTTACAGTGTTGCTGGTACTTGGCCAAAAAACGGGCCAGCTATTCCCGGGTGAAGAACAAGAACGGCTGCCGAGCGAAGGTCCAACGAGTTGTTATCCGGTTCGCGTGGCCGCTGCAACCTGATGTTGCGAAACGGACGGTCGACGGAGTGCCAATGCTCTTCTCGCATGGGCCAGAAAGGCTGCTGTTAATGTTTCGGGCTCCCCTTGCACACGAACGGGGCTTCTCGGCATCATCTGCAGGGAGAAATAGAAAGAAAACTGGCTACTTCTGATGGTCGGGGGTCGCTGGAAGAGTTGCGACGTGGCTGGGCTCCAAGCGACGGGTGGTGAACGGACGCCGGCGGGGCTGCTCATGGATAGAGGTTCAGCGGCCGTTCCTCTCGTCGATGAAGGGTCGCCGACGGTGGCTGGGATTTGCGATGGAGGCTCGACGGAAACTGTAATTGGAATAGGACTAGTTTGCTTGACTGCGGAGGGCTGCGTTCTCGGTTTTATCGGAGACGGCAGAGAGGGTCGCCTGTGCTGGTTGATGAAGGACGAGAAAAGTCGCTGCTCAATGACGGCGAATTCTCCACTCTGGCAGGACGCGAGGTGGACGAGGGAGGCCGCCGCCGCTCCTCGTTCGGACAGTCATCCGAGCGTGTAGATAGAGAAAATTCGCCGGCGATGGAAAGATGAAACTTGCTACTTGATCGACATCTGTTGTTCGAAGGTGGGATCGGCGGACAAAAATGGCGACAGAATTTCAGGCGGCGATTCGCGAAATCGAGCAAAGGGGATTGTGAAATTGAACTCACGATTTGATGTGAAGGGAAATCAATCTCTCTCTAGGCCGAGATTTAAGAGATGAAAGAGAGAGATTATCAAGCGAACGATGAGATTTTTCCCTCAAGAATCGCAGTAGATTGAACGGGACGACGACTCGGTCCTGGGAGAGGAAGGTGAACTTACGCGCCTGGAAGTTAAAACTCATTTGGACCAAAAATAATTTACTCAATTTGGGCGAAGATAATAGAGAAAAGTACTCTCTGCACGAGCCCAATTTTCTATATTGCTCATTTAACGAGATAAAAAAAAAAAAATCGCACATCAAACTTCATTCAGGCTCAATTACGAAATGTAAAAATTTCAATTCCACTTTCTCCATCATCGACGCTGCGATCACCACCCTCACCATCTTCTCCCACCAGACTCCGCCTTCTCCACTCTCGGTCAGCCGTCTCTCGCCCACCTCCTCCTTCACTCCTCCCCCCTCTCTCTTTCCCCGTCATCCCTCCTCTCCCTGCCCTTCGCCTCCACAGTCCCGTCCCTCTCCCCGGCCAGCCACCTCGTCGTGACCTCCGGCCAGCCCGTACAAATATCCATTAATAACGTCGGAGTCTCTGATACCCCCATTTTCAACGACGGATTTGTCTTCGTCTACGCAATTGACGGTTTCTCAACCTGAATTTCACCATAGCGGATGCAGATTCGGCTAACCCGAACCCTAGATCTCATTCCCAGTGCCTGAATCTAGAATCATTCTCTAGATTTGGGGATGCGCCTGGAGTTTTGAAATCGAGAGGCTACTCGTTATTTTCTCCAATCGACTGATCACCGATAGCTTGTTATCATTTTAGGTAAACTCTATCCTGTTGTTATCATTTTAGGTAAACTTTATCCTGTCAATTATTTTTAATTTTCGTGCTATTTTTTTTTCAGGAAATTAAGTGTTCATGGAATTTGCTGGTAGAATTTTGTGATGCTAGAGTTATTTTTATTTTTTATTTTCTGTAAATTGTTTTGCTGCTTTTTGCTCAATTTTCCCTCGGTTTAGTTGGTCATTTTTCTATGCAGTGTTATGTAGTTTGTTGAGATATTTGTGTGATATGTGCTTTCTGTTGTTCAGTAATTGATTAATTATGTGATCTTTTAATCTCTCGAACTGCAGATCATTGGACTTTTGGAAACTCACACGACGTTGTGAAACCGTGGACAGTTTTTGGAGCGATGGACGAGGAATTGGTCCAGTTTTCTGGGGATTTCGTAGGCCTCTCTTCTTTGTTCATGAGGCATTTGGCTCCGTGCAAAGTGATGTGGAATGATATGGATGAGATGACCAACGGGACTGTGGTTTCCAACAATGTGAGCGGCTTTAGCTTGGAGATTACCAAGGATGAAGTTGATACAGTGATGGTGAATGGAGTCGAAATCACTTCCCAGAGCTGTACGAAAGCGAGTGGCTGGTGGTTCACGGGATCGAGCGGTGATTGCTTTGCCGGAGATTGGGATGAGGAGATGGAAGTGACGGAGGATTTTCCGGTGGAGGAAGACAATAACTCGATGGCTCTGGATAATGGGGACCTTTGAGGTCAGTTGTTGCTAGTTTATTAAATGAAGCGTTTTCTTTTACATTGAAGAATTTGTCATGTCTTGAAAAAAGAATGAGAGCTTTTAATATTCTTAGAATTGAAAATTGGGATTGAAGTGAATATGTGAATTGTAGAAATTTTACTAATGGAACTCTGGTATGAGATTTCTTGTTGAAAAGTGGCTCGGTTTATGAACGAGGAGAAAACAAGCGTCAAGGAGAAGAGAGGTGAAAATAGGGATACGAAGGTCGAAAAAAGTGATGGGCTGCGTTTCCATGGCTCCGATTACCCCTTTTTTCAAATTAGTAGTGTTAATTTTTAGAAGAAAAAATATTAAAGTAGCTTTTTTAGTGTTCGTTCGATGTTTTTTTTATGTTTATTTGATGTTTATTTGACGTTTATCTATGATTTTTTAAAGATGAGAGCTTGAATAATCTGTGGAAGTTTCTTATAAAATAGACTTTTTGAGTGTTAATTGATGATTTCATTACGTGTGTTGATTTATGGGAAAAAATTTATAGTTTCTTGAGTGTTAATTTGATGTTTATTTGATGTTTATCTATGATTTTTTGAAGCTCGGATCTTGAATAATATCTGGTATTTTTTTTTTTGTTAAGTAGCTTTTGAGTGTTAATTGATGTTTATCTATGATTTGATTATGTTTATCAATAGTTTGTATTCTGAAAATAATATATATGTAAATTTACATTTGGTATGTATAAAAGTACTATTTTTATAACTATAATAAACTAAAAATAAACCCTATATATTTTTTTCTTGTATAATAAACTGTTTTTTTCTAGTATAATAAGCTGAAAGAAAACTATATATAAATTTAAATTTACAATCTGTATTCTTATAATGGTTTATAAACCTACAATAAATTTAAAATAATCTAGATATGAATTTTGGTAGAAAAACTGGTTCATAAACTCAAGATAAACTTAAAATTAACTATATTTAAATTTAAATTTGGAAGTTAACTATTTGGTGCACATAGAAAATGAGTTAATTACATGAGTTGGTTATTAACAATGTGTGATGATAATTGTTGGAATTAATTAAGTTGTAAGAGAAAAGCCTTCCTACGTCTGCGGGCCGGTAGGATTGGTAGCTGGCACCAGAAAACCTGTTGTATAATAGACTTGGTAATAACTTTTCAATCTCGTAAAGTGGGAAATTCATGAGAAATAGTGTCCAATCGTGTCCTTTAGCCAAGATAATACAAGACATTGAGCCATAAAAAGAACATATCCCTTGGGCTGAAAATTAACAATCAAGTAGCTGGATTCTAACTCTTTTTTTTTTTTTTTTTTTTAAATAGCATTTAGCTCATATAAACAACAAAGTGCATGGACTGGAAATAAAATAAATAAGGGTTGGAATTTCACATAAATTGGGTCGGAAATAATATAATCGAGCTGAATTATATCCCGATAAAATGGGCCGAAAGGAATACGACGCGACAACAAGAATTTTCCGATCGATTTAATTGACGACGAATAACAAATAAAATTATACGACTTATTATATTAACTAGACTACGTCTAATTAAATAATAATAAGCCTAAAAGGAAAGATGTCGAGCAATTAATAACATTAATCTAGAAATAATAATAATAATATAATATTGAGAAAATTCTAATAAACGAACAGGGCGTTACAATCTATCCTCCTTAAAATATTTCCGTCCTTGGAAATACTAAAGAACACACAACCAAAGGAAACAACAGACTTAAGGGAAAATTTCCAACCATGAGGTCCGAATATCCCCTCCGAAACTCAACCCCGCTCAAATGAGTCTTATCGCCCTATATTCGAAAGGCATACACTCACATGCAGGACACAATCCGACTTGCCCTATGCTCATATGTTTACCTTCTTGACTGGGAGGGTGATCATTCCTGCCCGAGCTCAGGCGTACATCCTCTTGCAAGGGACCCAGTCCGGCTTGGCCTATACACATGAGTATCAACAATTTGCTTCGCACCTAACAACAGATAAGACCTTAACAGGTCATTCGTATACTGCTAGCGTACTCCAACTGCCTCACCATCAAAGTGGATACGTGATGCCAAGCTTCAGTCTCGTGCCCAAGGCACACTAATAGCTTGCTCACGATCTCATCACGGTCCGTGCGTCTCTATCAGAGACTTCGGCACGGTACCACATTGTAACGCCCCACTTTATTTTGAAAGATTTATCGAATTTATTTAATAGAAACCACAATAATTTTTTTTTTTTTTTTTTTTTACAAACATTAATGTAATTAAAAATTCAGTGGGCGCTACTCAACCTACCAAAAGCTTTTATCCAAAAATGCTAACACAGCAAATAAAGGCAGCATGCACGAATAATAAACCATAAACCAATCTAGCATTCATTAGGTTCCAATTCATAAAAGATAATTCATAATTCCATGTTCCGAAATGACATAACCAAAATATCCAAATTCAACATGAGTTCATGAACTAAGCGGAAGCAAGGTTAATAAAGCAATAATAAATAATATAACCACCACTCGTCATCTCGTCTCGTCACCCGCCAGCTGCTTAACCTGCATCCGTGAAGAGCAGGTGGGAGTGAGTACAGTTAAATATCGTACTCACACTATGCATATGAATAACATAACAATGGTATGGTCGCAGCAT